AAAAACTCTTTTTGGATGAGAGGAATGATCACTGAACTCCATTTAGTCTTCCAGCAGAAAGTTTTATTCTTGTTAAGGACAAGGAAATATCAACCAACAGCTCCATTAATAGACACAGATTAAACAAGCCCTGTTAAGCACTTTCTACTCAACATGTGAAAAAACAGAGTCTAAAGACATCATGTGTCCAAACTGTTCACATTAAAACTTGAGCTCATCCTTTATCATAAGCTCAAGTGATGTTGCTTCTGTGTATAGCAAAGGGTGGAAACAATTTAAGTTACCAGAACAGCTGTGTTTAACAAGTACTGAAGCACTGGAGTTTTGACTGCATTTACTGGTGTGCTATTAGACTGCTTTCCTTCAGAGCCTCAGGCAGACTTGCAGAAAGCCACAGCAGAAAAACGAACTTCTCCTTTTTCACGTTCTGTAAATTGTCTGCAGATCTTAGCAGAATCCTTAAAAGAAAAAAGCTATTTAGATGACTGGAACACGTTTGCTTAAAAAAAAAGAGACCCTAAGTCATTGCAGATCTCTGGTCCCCATGGCTAAGTTACATGATCTAATAACACCAGTTAATACATACACTTAACAGATATCTAGCTCTGTGGTATAGTACTGCTTTGTTACCAGCTTGCACAGCAAGTAAGTACAACCACTATACACTGAAAGAGTGCCCCCCATCCTTTTAGAAGCCATACTTCCAGGGAAACAGCGAGAAGTTTTACCTTCAATAGCAAGTCATCTGAGCTTGTGCCATGGTTTACAGGAAATGGCAAACGCCCATCTGTGAAAGAAAGGCCCATCACTCACTAAGCTTCCTGAGTATGAATTAGCAGAATTCAATATAGTGATGTAAGAAACCAGTACACAGAACGTGAACACAGTCAGAATTGTCAATACATGTTCAAGTGAAAAGGGGACCCAGTATTCCCAGCTCTACAGGCAATGTCACTTTACAAGACTATATAAGCATTCAGTGCAATTCACCTTCAGCTAAAATCTTTAAGAAAAACTATAAATTGGCTTTGACAGTGCCATTAGAGAGCTACACCAGTATCAAGTTCCTAGCCAGAGCCACCAACACTGCTATACAGTGCAAAGCAAATCCTGCCTAACTCCAGAGCACTCATAGGAGCTTACCCAATTCATACAGATGTCCATCCACATTAGCAAACAGGATGAAGTGGAAGTTCACACTGTTGTCCTCAACCTTAGGACAGACCATTAGACACATTAGTTAGACTAAGAAAAGTCTACAACTATATTTAGAAAAATCCCACTTGTAGCTACAAGACAAAGGAGGTGTCTAGAAGAATGCAAAAGCAAAGCATTAATAACCTGATTCAGCTTTTGTAGCCACTGCAAGGCATCTATAAATTACTACACATTAAAATGCTAAAGCCTTAATATTCAGCCCCCCAGACGCAGCCTGAACCCAATTTTCAGTATGTTTGATAAAGAAATCCTGCATTCACGCATCAATTACTTAGCCTGTTTCATGAGTTGTGACAGCTATCTGCCAGACAAGAAACGTCTGGCACTTTCAATATCTTCCCCCAAGATTTTGCCCATTCATATCTTACCCGACACTGTCCTTCTTGTGCAACAGAGTTGTGGACTTCTTGTATAGCCTTAAGAGAAAGCACAAAGAAGTTATTGCATCCCTTAAGTGATGACGCTGACAGTTATTTGTTAGTTCACATACCTTATTATTTGCAAAACGCTTAGCTCTCTCTTCAGGAGACAGATCAGCTGTTTCATCAAGAAATTTCTTCAGGGCAGATCCCTCATCTGCACAGGATTAAAGATCATCTTCAGCACAGTTAGAGAAACAGTTACAGTTCAAACAGCCCACACCACTCAATGCTCACTGTGTTAACCAGGAACAATTACTTTCAGCCTGGAACCATCTCCAGTACAAGCATATTACAACTACCACTTCAAGTTACCAGATGCTATTGGTGACAAGATGTACAAACAGCCAGAGTCCAAGTGCCTCAGGGTACTCCAAATACTTGTCTTGAAACAGACTTACAAATATAATTTGGCTTTTCCCATTTCTCCCTGCAGGTTTGGAAGAAGGAAAGTCATGTCTTAAAGAAATTATCCTATAGCTGGTATGTTTCATCTACGCACATTGCTACAAGACACTTGATTTCTGTCTTTCTGAAATTGTGAATCTACAGACATACACATCACTCACTCATTCTAAGCTTGCTTTGGCTTTCCAGAGCTTGAAATAGTAAGAGAGTAAGAGATACAGAGTTCCTATTCTTACCTGAAATACATGCTGCAACACTCATATCATTCAAGAGCATGCTCAGATGTCTTTCAAGAATAAAGCAATGGGGGTCTTATCTTTCTTTCCATACATGCTTTAACTTTGTGTAACAAATACACACCACCCAAGCGGTTCAGATTTTCAAGACAGTGGCAGGAATTTATTTTCTTTTGCAGTTCTCTATTCTGAATAGTAAACACTACCCAGACTCAGTGACAAACCTTTAACAAGGATTTGTAATCTTGTTTCCTAGGAAACAGGAGCTTCCAGCCACCCATTACCTAGACTAGTTTTATATCTTTTTACATAAGAGAATCAAAGCTGTCCTCTTCAGAAAATATACTTCCATGCTATTACCACCCCATAAGGCTTTTCTCACAGAAAGGTAGGCATGTTTGAAACTGATTTTTAGACTACATCAAGCAAGTTCACCTACACTAGACATAACTAGCATTAAGAACTTTCTGTTCAGTTGACATCAATATCAATGGTCATTTCTGAACATAATGTTTCCTACTTGTAAATAAATTGGTCAGTCCTGCTCTGTACCCTTCTCCATCCTGCAATGCTTATCTACCAGGATAGGAGTCAAAATAACATCACTTCTGCAATCTGTGCTTCTCTCCAAGAGAGAGAAAGGACGCACTTAGAAACTGAAGTTTCTAGTCCACAACCACTCAACTTTCCACTGCTGCAAAAAAGCTGGGAATTCAAGCATTTTAGAATATTAATACTCACCAAGTTTAACTTTGTCTTTGTTATTAGCAACTGCGTGTATCAGACCAATTGTCCCACAGGAGTTACTGACAGTCTGCTTCAGGAAATACACCTTGGAACTGATTTCTTGGTCCTTTATTTTCTCAGTCTGTTGTTTCCTAAAGTTCTCATGCTGTGAACATGTAATTGTTTTCAGTGTTTCACTATAGCATCATCTTTTTATTGTGCAAAATCACCACAGAGACAGGCATACAGGAGAGCCATTACCAGGACTAGACAGAAGAACTTACCCAGAAAGTCATCTTCATGGCACAGGTCCAATAAAGCATTATCTGTCTATTCTGGACTCAGGCCAAGCCTTAATGGACTATCTATATGACTTAATCACATCCTAAAGCATTGTTCATGGTTTCTCCGCCTATGTTGTACACTGGAAATAGCTTGAGGGGAAAGTCATAATGGATAGGCTCTTTATCTCCTCTCTCAATTGTTTTACCTATTTGATGGGACTACTCAGCATATGTATACAATAGCTTGCTTTTTCCCTTTACACCAATTTCCTTCATTCATCCATACCCATTGGAACAGCATGTAGATCAACATAAAAGGTTATAACCCTTCTTTTCAAGCATTTGTTAAGCACAGTTCATTTTAAAGTGCACCTCCTTGTAGTTCCTCAGCACACTGCACTATAGGCATTACCACGCAGCCATAGCTCAGGCCTCCCTGGACCCAGTGAGTGATTCAGCAAGATGCAGAATCACCACTCCTGACACTCAAGGCTGCTAACAGCATTTTCTTTAGTCTGGTACACAGAGAAAAGCACAGGAGGCACGTTAGAATAAGAGCCCTGATTT